AAGATGGAGCGGGGTGGGGTGAAGAGAGAGGGTGGGGGGAGGTAGTGGGAGGGAAGAGGTGCGTTCGTTGCCGTTCGTTCGATCAGTGTAGCGGATCGGTGGTGGTATTGGTTGTATAGAAGGATCTTATAACATCTGTTGAAGAGACTAAAGGTAGCGATAGATGTATTACGAATGATGTTATAAGATTATGAGGAAAAGCTACTTTGTTGTCTCTGGATCTGTAGATGAGTGGAGGCTAGATTCCGGTTGACGGTGGACGGTCAGACGGCCGGAATCAGCAGCCTGTGCCACTTTTTCTTTTAAAAAAAAAGGCCTACCAGGGGGTTCAGCAGCTGTGAAGGACCATTCCTGTTTTGATGTATGAGTTAATAATCTGGTTGATCCGGTGTGTGGTTGTTCATGCTGGTGAAGGCAAGAGTGAGCAACGAAGTCAATCGAAGTTCATTCAGATTAACCTCATTATCGTTTTCCAAAAAGTTGGAACAGTGAAGGATGCTTCGCCATCCGCCCCACCCAACAGCAATAATTGTGATTTTACATTGTGGTGATAAGATTGGTCTGGCCACGTTCCTGCAAATGCCTCCAGCCTCCAGCTGGTACTGGTATCTATCTCTTGGCGGGTTGTCTCCGAAGACTGGTCCATACCAGTATGTCCAGACTTGAGCACTCAGGAGTTATAGCAAATAGCTGCAATTTCGTGTGATCGCATCATCGTATCTAGCTACTAGTAATACTCGAGAGTATCTGATCGTATCATGCACGAGAGTATATATAATATTATACCACGTACCAGTATCTCACACGTCGAGGGACATCCAGGAGCTCATCCAGGAGCGAAAAAAGAAAGAATGGAAAACCTTGAAGTGCATTGGATAATGGATTATGGATTTGTCGCGCCAAGGGTTTCGCTCGTTGTGTCCAATGTCCTGCCCATGCCCACAGCAACCATGCATGCCCTCTGATTCATCTTATCATACCGATAGCCCCACTTGACTTGAAGGAGGACACCATTAAATCTGGCAACTTTGGTTGAAGTACGTACTGAAGCTGCGACCTGGCACTAGTGATTTGTCTGGGGTATTTCCAGAGTTGAATCTCAGACCAGTGGAGAGGATCTTGGTTCTTGCAATCGATTAGTGATAAGTCCAACCACTTCCTTTTGGTTCTTGAAGACCTACTAGCACCAGTTACCAGTAGCAGCAACTAGGAAACTTCAAAGCAACGACACACGGAGAAGATCAAATTGAGGCAGTTCCAAGACCCCCGTCGCTGGCACCAAACGCCAAGAACCTTGCAGATTGATCCTTGATGGGAGTATTGTAACCACGCGACACAAAGCACCCTTGATGTCTCCCGTCCCGTTGTCGTTCCTGTAGGTTGGACTATTTTTGTGCATGGGAGGCAGCCAAAACTGGGGTTCCGGAATTGGGAAAGGAGTCGAATGGTCCTGGTCCTGGTCCTGGTCCTGGTGGAAATTGAGCACTGAGCATTGACAATCATTATCTGATTGGTTGGTCTGTGCAATTGCATTTTGCCTTGGCTTGGGGATCTCTCGGAGTGTTCAGTCGAAGTGAATGATGAAAATATCAATCACCAGCCATGCAGCCATGGCATCTAAATACTCTAGGAGGAGGTCTGCGAGGACAAAAAGCTGCACGGAATTGGGAGAATCTCCTTTTTGCTACTCGATACCAAGTGATAGCCATCCTGGAGTCAAGCAGAGTTTTTCCCCTTCCATTGCAGATTGCAAAACACAGAAATGTCACCCGATTGGTACCCGAGTGCCCGGGGCTCCATTGTGATTGGAGACATCCGCAGAGAAGGGGCGCTTCGAGGCCTGGCTGATCACGAATAAACCTTCAATGTTCTCCCCGAACAATGCATCCCACCTTATGCATATACCAGCAGACGGCTCTGGACAAGGAGAGTTGTGTGTTAACGGTCCTTGCCGGTTCTGTAGAGCTTGCTTAACATGGGATCCCGATCCGAATGATGAATCACAGGCAGAGGCTCCGGAGAACCTGGACACAGCACTATGAAGGATTGAGACTACCTACATCTCACTACAGTTAGTGCTGTGGCTGAAGGTGGTCCCAAAGCCAGCGAGCTGGTGTGGGGTACCTGACATCCTTGAAACTTGCCCACACAGGTCAAAGCTTGGGCGGGCGGGGACATAGTCAGCCAACCTGTTGCTCCGCCTCCCGAGATCATCCACGAGATCGACAACCAACCGTCTTACAATCAGTCAAAACTGTCAGGATTTGCACTATGCTCCCCAACCGTTTCGTCCTCGCTTTCTTCAACGGGAAAGCTAGCAACATTCGTCAGGTTCAGCTTCGAATGGACAGATATTGCATTCAATAACAAACGGGTCCTCGCTCACAACCACATTGTCGATAGTGCCCTTGAAGCCGCTCCATACTCCTGTCCCTCCAAGGGCAACATTGGGAGTCCATAGTTCACCCCATCCGAGGCACCCAATGAGACTGTCACCTGTCGACCAGGTAAAGCTCCAGTCCCCAGCCCATGCATTGTTGCCGTGTTCGTAGTACTGTCCCTGCACGGCACCCGCTACGTCAACAGCACATGGATCCGCACCGGCTGCCAGGGCATCTTCTTCCGTCAGGTAAAAGGAGTCTGGAACTGGCCGATCAAGTTTTCGCCAGCAAAGTCCGAGCCGGAAGCGGACAACTCGTAAATCACCGTACACTCACTCATCCTCTCATTCTTCGTTTCCAGAGGGCACAGTTCCCAAGTGATCACAAAAGGATCCTCCGATGTGACAGTGTTGGTAACATTGCCCTGATACCCAGAAAACAAGCCGGTTCCACCGCTGATTACCTTGGGCAACCAAGCCCCATCTTCACCGTTCACTCCAGGTCCAAAGGAAGATATGCAATTACCTGACCCACATCATCTCCCAAGAGAAAGGCCCAATTTCCGATGCTGGTATCTCCTGCAGGAAAGTACTGTCCATAGAGAGAACCAGCCACCGTCTCGGTAGTGACGTCCTCGAACTCTGCAGGATCGGCGGCAAAAAGTGGAGCATCAAACACGCCAATACCAGTGGTCTCATTCGCTGCCACAAATGTCGTTTTCAAAGAAACCTGTCAAGGCAGTATTGGGCGGCGACAAGTCAATTCATAAATGTCTTCACATTCTTCCGTAACTGACAAGTTCTTGGAGGCGCATGGTCCATTTGATGATGAATGTAATGGATCATCGGAAACAACTTCACCGTCAATGGTACCCACAAAATCGGCCCATCTTCCAGATCCTCCCGTGGCCGTTCGGGGAACCGCGTCGAAATCGGTAAACCCCAATCGACCAATGAGCTTCTTCGAAAAAGCCAAACGCCCACGTCCAAGTGCTCACCAAGCTTCCAAAATCCGATCGGATTGTCCTGATTGTTTTGAGCGTCGTCGAGTGTGACATAAAAAGGAGTGTCAAAGGTTCCAAAAAATTCCATCTGCTGGCTAGACCAGTAGACCGTCCAAAGTGTACAACCGGTACGAGCAGCCACCGTACCGGTACTCACCAGCTGCCGACACTAAGTTGGAAAGATCTTGCTTGGGGGAAAGATCGGAGGTGCAAAGATCCAAGAGACGTAAAAGTACCGTACGTGGCCTCTGTACTACTAGTAGTAACTCTACCGATAGAATTCGTCCATCGACGTACCGGTACAGCTGTACCGTACGGCTGTAGGCACAAAACCACCACTTCAAATACAGTATTAGTAGCCTGTTTTTCTGACATAAAGGTACATTGAAGTACTCTAAATCAACTACATCTACTCTTAACTCCTATCGCTTGTACTCAAGAATGACTTCCGCCGTGGGATTCGATTCATTCCAAATAATAAAATGCCCAATCATGGCTGCCCCATACGACTGTACCCTCAAGCGAAGGAGTACACCCAATCCCTCCAAATAAGGAATGGTCGCTGACAAATGTTGAGGCTCGGACGCTGGGACAGTATCGTCACAGGATGCCGGACAATCGGGAAGAGCCATCCACGATCTGTATTGTTACCGTCGACGACAGCTTTCACAAGGATGACGAACCAGGCTCTGTGGAAGTTGTCTTTTTCGGTTGGTACTGGAGGGTTGGATCACAATATATCTTCCACCCACGGTCCGAGTTGGAGAAATCCGCTGATGAAAGCATCGGCATCCTACCGGTAGTCATAGTATTGATGGACCCAAGGTTCCCTTTGTGGAAAGGCAGACCTGCACGACACGGCTTTTGGTCACATGCATTTTAAAGTGACTGCTGATGACAGTACTTTTATTCAAACTGGAACCAAAGCGGAAACACGATCCTCTGCCACATTTCCACTCGATCATGTCTTTGGGCAGTATCGAATGCGCCGTCGCAAGCGACAGAGGATTTTCATGCAAACAACGGTGGCACTTGCTTCATCTTTGTGTTCACATCTTTTGCCTTTTTAAAATACGAACGATTGGTCCGTGCTTGGAAGTCAGAATGTGGTCATGAACCGAGCTGTAGCATCCGGTGCCGTGGTTTCGTCGCCTCTAGCTAGGAAGAAGAGCCTGCCAAGGATCGGAACATGAGACAAAAAGCCGGGCCCGGAGTTTGCAAGCTACAGTCGTACTTTTTTAATTCTGTACCCAACACATACAGAAGGCCCAAGACGTGTGAGCCAAGGAGATGCGGTTGCGGATTTCCCATCTTTTTGCCGATTTGACTGGTCCAGCCGTAAGTGAAGAATTGCAGCGACCGAGCCCGCTCCGACTCAATCTTTCGTTTCAATCAAATCAAACGGCGTCAAAGGACAGATTCATGTTTTCAAAGAAACAGCCAACCTGCTCACTGCTGTCGGCAAAGGAAATCATCATTGTGTTACTATGCACGCGACGACAAAACTTGTGGCGAAGGGCTAGGGAGAGACTGTCTTCGTGCATGTCCAGAGCACCATGACAAACTCTGTTGCTGGCTCTGATGTCTCTTCTGTTGTAGACAGCACGTATGGATGGATACAAAGTCCAAATACGAATACTCTCGGTTCTATCTAGTCCATGATTATAATACTAGTAGTTGTAATGTCGTTCCCCTTTGAAATGAAATGCGTCACGTTCTGCAACGCCAAGCCAGCGTTCTCGGTACCTTTGAAGTTCATCACTACCTCCTATAAGGCAGTTTTCTACACCCCAGTAGATTGTCGGGTCTTTCCAGCCACGACAAATGCATATGCCATGGAGAGCTCTCGAGAGCCCTTCACATACTTCCATTGGTCATCGGCATCCAATGTTGATATGAGGGCTAAGTCCTTCTCCGAGAAGGGGACTTGCCAAAGATTATCTGGTAGCACCCACGGACCATCATCTTTCACGTCGACGCCAACATGTCCATCTATCAATGTATCTGTGCAAACCACACCGAATCTGCCATTCAACGCAATCTGTGATTCCTCCACAAGGCCATGGATCACCACCCACAAACCAGTTTTCCCCAAAGAGGGGCAATCTGGGTTGTCCATGGCATTGCACAATTCCAACTTGTCTTTCCATACTTGTTTGTGGCAAGCTGGACCTACTTGTAGAAGCTGGTTGCATGCGACCTTTGTGATGCGAATGCCAGACGCTGGATGCTTCCACCAGTTTGGTTTTGGCAGAGCATAATTCTTGGCTTGGCCAATAATTTCCATGCGACGAATCATACAATTAGCCCACACGTAAAAGCACCATTTCGCCGCAGATTCGAAAACTCCGACCTGGATATCGGTATCGATTCTGGCTCGACGGTGAATCACGTAATTCCGATACTCGTCATCTGCAACACAACGTCCTGCCACCAACACCGTATATGCCAATTGCTTGCATGCCTTTTCCATGCATAATTGCTCCTCCAAAACTTGCCCGGACGCATCGAACAAGAATCCAAGCTGGAGGTATTCTGTTGGAGTTGCTTCTCCTTCCTGTTTCAGATAGTTTCGAAGGAGCTTCTTGGCTCCATTGATATCGCCACTAAGCGCTAGATTGGCGGATTCCGAAAGGCCGGCGACACTCTTTTCGGTGTATCGAAAGTAGAGTGCAAATTCAAGGTGACGAGAAAGTTTTTCCTTTGTTTCTGCCGCATCTTCGTTGTGCCATTTTTTGTGTTGTTTCCAAGCTTTATTGGCGCATTTGTCGGAGCAGAAGACTGGTGGAATGAAGCCTTCCTCCTTGCAGCGGCTACATTGACTTGGAAAAGAGGTTTCTTTGGGTTCTGGCTTTCCGCAAAACAGACAGAATCTCTGAATCTTTATCACATCCAAAAGTCGTTTCATTTGCGTCTTCTCCATCCTTTCCAGTTGTACTAGCTAGCGTCAGCGTCAGCGGTTGCGGTAGTTTCTGTATCTCAAAGGTTTTGTTCGAAATTTGTGTTGTGCTGGTGGTGAAAGCGTGAAAGCTGTCATTGGCGCTTTGGCACCTCGCTCGGCGGATTTTCGCGTTGGGCGCGAAGTTGACTTGCCATCGTAGTAAGCCAGCTAGTCTAGCTACAACTGGTTGAATTGTCATTCGTCAGTACTGTCAAGTATGCGGAAGTTTTACTTTCAGGGGCCAGGCTTTGCCACGAACGACCTGAAGCTTCTTCGTCGTTGTCTTTGTTTCTTGCTGGAAACTTAGAAGCCTTTTTCAGCCCCCTGAGACCATGACAATCCCGTCCTGGCAGCAACTTTAATGGGCCTGGAGTGGAGCCTGACTAGTGTTGGTCATGTCGGTGGGACAAGAGTGGAGGCCCAAATGGAAGAGGGGCGGGCCCTAGCTAGCTTGGGATCTGAATGTGCGGGACCTGAAGGATTGAACGTGCAGACGACACAACGCCTATATTATGTTTAGGTCCTTCTGTAAGTAGAACGTGTAGACGACACCGACGCCTTTTTCTAATATGTTTAGGTCCTTATGTAAATAGAGTTGCACTCATAAAGCCTCTACGTTCTTCAGCGGTGCGGTAACTACAGTCTTCGGTCTTACCAAGCTCACTCGATTCGTTCATGCTCGGATGACACTTCCAATGCTCTCCACAAACCAAGGTTGAATGGCAGTTACAAACCAGTAGATTGTCGGCTTTGCTGAGCCAGGCAACGACGAGAAAGGCTGACTTCACTTGATGCTCTTGCATACTTCCACTGCTGATCTTCTTCAAGAGTCGAAATGATCGCCACCTGTTTTTCCGAAAAACAGACTTCCCATAGATTCTTGGGCCGGATCCGCTTCTCTCCGTCAATCCCATCCACTGCCACAGAAACTCGACCATTTTCCAACCCATCCTTGAAAACGAGGCCCAGTTTGCCGTTGATTGCCTTGCCGGTTTTACTCTTAAGGCCATGGATCAAGACCCAAAGACCAGATTCACCTCGCTCTAGAGCAGACGCATGGGTGAGCTCTGCAGGCATTTTCAAAGGATTCATGCAGCATTTGAAGGTAGATATTCCATCATCCTCATAGTCGAAGTTCTTCGACATGTGTTCGAAGAGTGCATCTGCTTCCTGAAACTCCTCGGCTGTGCGAGGCAATGGAGGGTTTCGTTTGTCAGCAGCTGAGAGAAGAATACCCCGACACATCATCATCAAATAAGTGACATTCTGATTTCCGTAATCTTTCAATCCCTTGAGTACTACCTTTGAGATTCGCTTGAGCATACCATCGCGAAGAAGCCAGTTTGGGTTGTGCTGCGTATTGTTGTCGTAGTCCTTGGGATAGCAACCATGAAGATTGTTGCTGACTTCCTCCACTCTAGCGAAAAGAATGAGGTAAACGGAATTTTCCCAACCAATAGTATTGACTTCAACGCGGTCCTCTGCTCCGAACAAAATACCAAATGCCCATTGCTGACAAGCTCTGGCATAGCACGGAATGGCTTGCTCGGGATACCCTGATTCCTGGAAATGGCTACCACGAGCCACAATTGAGAGCGGAAGCGTTGGGTCAGCTTTCTCAACTTTGTGGAGAAGTTTCTTTGAGCCCTTGATGTCCCCAGCAATCTCCTTGTTTATGGCTTCCAATAGGAATGTCTCAGCCTGCGAGCGAGCGTTTGAGATGTCCATTGGTTCCAATTTGTCTCTATTCTGCTTCAAATATGTTCGAGTTTCTTCGTGCCACTCTTTGTGCGCTTGCCAAGCCTTCTTTGCACACTTGTTAGAGCAGTAAATGGCGGTTTCAAACCTTCGTCATGACATTGGCGACACTGTATTTCGAAGTGCTTATCTGCTGTCTCCGCCTGTCGACATCCCAAGCAGAATCGCGGAGGCATGTCCACATCGACCGGTTTTTTCTTGGATTCCTTCTTGGATTCCTTCTTGGATTCCTTCTTGGATTCCTTCTTGGATCCCTTCTTTGTCTTCGCCATTCTTTCCAGATGTAGTAGCGTCAGTGGTAGGTTCTAGATTGTATCTAAAAGGCGGTGTCTACCGGTATGGTCAGACAAAAAGTAAGTACAATACAGTGCTCTGTTTGTGGTGATGGCTGTCATTGGTGTTGTGAAGAGGATAGGACTGAGGCCGACTCGACTCGCGACTCGGCTATTGCAATAATATTGTTATTAGGGCTACGGTAGGCCGGAAAATAGGGCGGCTTAGTTAGAGTACAAGTTCTGTACAGACGGAATGATACCGGTACGGTAGGGGGTTTAGAGTAGGGAACCTTCAGAACCCGGACCTGCCGAGGGACCTACAGGTACGAGGGACCTGTTGTTGGGACTGGAGTGAGTCCTAGCTAGGTCCTAGTTAGGTATCATACCAGGAGTGTAGCTACCGTATTCAGGAGTGTGTGCTGTTGATAGATACCGTATGGTGTTGTGTCTGGAGTGGAACCTGACAAGTATTATAAGTGAGATCGGAGTGGAGTCCGAAATGGATTTGGGGTGGGTCCTAGCTAGCTTGGGATCCGCAGCAGATGGCCTGGAGATCCATGTATGGGACCTAGTAGAATGGGACCGGGATTGGAGCATGGGGACGGATCAGACGATCAGACATAGTTCTTGGCTTGGGACCTGTAAGAGATCCAGAACTAGGCCCTGGAGCAGTTCCAGGAATTTGGACTGCTCCTCCTACGGACCCAAGCTCAACTCAAAACTGTGCATGCTTGGGAACGCTTGAAAAATTCCAAGTATGGAGACTCTCACAAATTCCATCACGGGTCCCTACTTCCATCCCTTTGTTGTTTCTGTGGATGGCAATCCAAATTCTTTTGCAACACTTTGCTACTGTCAATGCCAACAAAACTCAGTATTCCTCCTCCGAAATGATGTTCTTCATCCAGACCAGACGAGTTCTCAATTGCCCTTGTTTTAAAATTGAAGTAACTCATTTATCTCTGTAGAGCATCCTGAAAAGTCAAGCTCTTTGGCCCCCATCTTGGTTGTCGCCCCTGATCCTATGGCACCCAGCCCCGAATTCCACTTTGCCTACGGTACACCCCTTGTCGGCTTGCTTAGACACCTTCCCACTCTTTTCATTGAGCCAGGGTTATCCCTTGTGTTGGTCTTAACGCAACCGGTACCGTTACCACCGTACCGCTCATGCAAAATACTAGCACGGTACCTGGTACCGCTAGCTCTAGGTAATGTAATTTCAGCTCTACGGTCTTGATTGTTGATGCCGATGACCGCGACCAACGGTCAGAATTAGGGTTCTCTTGGTCGTGAAGAGATCCTTCGATGCCAGGTGCGCCATGGCCGAGACTGTGTCTTTGGGGTTTCCCATAGCTCAACCCAAGCAAGCGGTGCCTTCAGTTTTCTCCAACCAACCATACAACCCTCAATCAATCCTCAATCAATCAACATAGTCGAGTCAAGCTTTGACATCTCATCACCATGTTCTCGTTTGTTCGCACAGTGGCGGCACTTGTTGTCCTGTCCTTGGCGAGTCCTCCATTAGTTTGGGCGGGCGAGCAAAAGGATGTGACGTTATTCAACGAAGCCGGTCTTTCGATAGATGTCTTTTGGGTGCATCCTCAGAATGGTGGCATTCACAAGATGACGGCGGATGGCGAAGTGATCAAGGATGGATTGTCCATCCCGCTCAAGTCGTTTGCCGGACACGAATTTGAAGTCCACGAAGTACCCAATCCTTCCACGGGGGAGTGTGATACCACCGACAGTAAGACGTGTCGACGAGCCATTTTTCAAGTCACTCCGTATGATGATCAGGGTGAGTTTTATTAACTACGAATTACAATGCATTCGATACGAAAGATTGTTTTGGTATTCAGTAGTAAAGGGGGTAGATTGTGGATGCTACCCTTGGTTTTCTGATTGATGACTAACTCATGCCGTGCTCTATTTGTTCTTTGAATTGCTACCCATGCCGTTATGAACCACAACCTGCCCACAACTGCATATTATCCTGATCACTGCCTTGATACGAAAAATTTTACAATTTACTCGCATTAATGGAATTGTTCCTTGGGGGCTCTATTTTGGCTGCTTGATCTGTCTTCTCCCTCCTTTCTTCGCTCTCCCCTTTACCATTGATCTGTCTTCTTTCTCTCATCTACCCCAAAATTCCAATCCATCCCTTTCACACCGAATTATTTCACCATCACACCGAATTTCATCATCTACAGTCATCTTTATCACTCCCAATTTTGAAGCCGTCATTGAAGATTCCAACACCAAAGCCCAAGCGGCCGCCGGAGACTTAGTGCAAGACTGTCACATTCAAGCCAAACGAAAAACACCCGCCGATCCCTCGGCCGAAGATTTGCAAAAGAGCATGCTCGGTCTCGTTCAGTGTGTCGAAGACAAGGTCGCCCGCAATCTCATCAAGAGCAATGAAGAAGTCGCCTTTCAAGCATCCGTTCGCAAAGACATGGCGGCCAAATTGGAAAATTATACTTGCGACGATCCCGATCATCCCACGTCGGCGCCCGTCCGCGATGAAATTTGGAAGACGGCCAAAGACGGACACCCCCGCACCGTGCACGTCATGCACGATCGTCCCGCCTCCAAAATTCACGTCGTCGAACACTTTATTGATCCCGAAGAATGCGATGCCATGGAACATGCTGCCGAACCCATTTTGCATCGCGCGACCGTAGCGGATGGATCCGGTGGATCCAAGTATTCCGAAGCCCGCAAAGCCATGCAAGCCGGAATTAATGTCAAGTGGGAAAAGGAAGCCGACGGGGATCCGATTGCGCGATTGTCACGACGGGTCTACGATTATGCCAATCATGTGCTGGGATTGGGATTGGAACATCATGGACAAGAGGTGCGTTTCTTACAACAAGTCCATGACTATTCTGTTGTATGATGCAACTAGCTAGAATGTCGCCAATCATGAATGTACTCACTCTCTGTCTTTGTTTTGTTCTCTGTCAGGATCTCATGAGCATTCAGTATTTTGGACGTGGATACAATGACACCGAACCGGATCGCTACACTCCGCACTGTGATGGAGATTGGTGAGTTTGTCTTGATACGTGACGCAATGCCGTTGCCTTTTCTTTCCCGGTCGTCTGACGTTTTCTTTCTTTCTTTCTTTCTTTTTTCTTTTTGAAGCACCGGATTGAAACACAAGCACGGCACCCGAATGGCAACCATGGTCATGTACTGGTGAGTTACTTATTTCGCAGTCAGTTCCATGCACAAAAAATTGGGAAAATAGGATGATTGCGGCTCATTTTGATTTTGGTCTCGTTTTCTCTTCTACTTTCTGTACGCTGCTGTCATTCCTTGCTCGCTACAAACCAAAACCCACAATCTGCCACTGACAAATCAATAATAGCAAAATCCCTCAACACGGAGGTCACACCAACTTTCGCAACGCGGGCATTCACATCCAACCCAAAATGGGGAATGCCATTTTCTTTGCCTACATTGACCCCGACACCAAAGTTATGGATACAGGCTTCACAGAGCACTCGGGATGCCCCGTCTTTGAAGGAGAAAAGAAGATTGTGACGCAATGGATCCGATACGGGGTCGACAAGGAAAACCCTTGGGATTCCTTCAATACCTTGGGAATCAAAAAGTCGGAAGAGAATGATTATTAGAGATAGTTAGTTAGGTAGTTAGGTATAGCATACGAATTATCTATATATATATATATAGGTAGCAGCCCACTCTCACTTCATTCTAAAGAGCGTTGTCATTTTGAAGAGAGTTAGTTTTGAGTTTTGACTCTACTAGCTAGCTCTAGCTAGACCCTCCTTCGTCAAAATGGAGCTACAGTATCAGCCCTACTAGAACCCAAGGTTCTTTCGCCCGCCAAGGGGAAACTGCCTTGAAGGATTTAAAGCAAAGCACGATCAAACTTTCTGGATTTAACGAACACGATTACTTTTCACAGTTTGACCTCCCAATGACTAGACAAAAGATACTTTCGTGGCTTTTGCGTTCCGTCGTCGAATGGAAACCTGCCAACCTCTCTCACATCTCCACAGCAAGAGAAGCCTCCAAGAGACGCTCCTCTCTGTTCGTTCTGCTCCGCTATCTGCTGTTACTGTTCTCTCGGTTGTGTCTGCGCCGTGGCCTACAGGATCAATATGTCCAATAGCCGGGAAGCGAAAGCGAAATCCTTGTTCGCCAGCCTACCAGGCTTTGATCCATCGCGCCACTTGGGCAAGGATTTCATTCCTACCAAGGAATTTGTGGAGCAGCTTGTGGACAATCGCATTGCCTACCTGGATGGCTTGTTGGAGAAAGAGATACTTCCTGAAGGATGCATCAGTCGAGACTTCTTTGAACAAGCTGCTCTGCAATTTCTTTGTGCCAAAAGAAGTAAAAACCCACCTCTCAGCCGCGAAGGATTGATCCTGCTCCTTACAATGATATTCAAGACCAATTTAACAGGCAACCAAGAGGCAATGAATTTTTACCATCACTTTGACGACTCTGCTGTTCACTCTGCTGTTCACGAGAACATGTTTCCGGCTCGATCTACATTGGCCTCAAATCTGAAGAAATTCTCCTTCGAGGTTGAGAAAGGCACGGTGATAATTCGGGGTGTGAGTGGCTATGAAGTTCTTGCCTTGCAGAGTGTCTTCCCCCTGGCAATCATACACTACAATAAGCACTTTCCTGGAAAGCCATTCGGTATAAGTCGCATCGAGGAACTGGCTCGACACTTAAAATACAGCAAGATTGGCATCACGGGAAGAAGGGGAATACTTGGATTCTTGGCGCCTTCTTCCCCCAACCCTCAATATCTGACCAATGCAAAAGCTTCTGCTAAAAAACAAACCAATGGACTAGTGCCAGGTCCGTCGAAGCATCAGATTGCTTCTCAGAGCCCAACAACGTGCCGCCCGAACGACCCGGAACAGGGCCCAACTCATTCGGAGCCGGTGGGTCACTCGGCCGCCACAGCTACTCCAGAGCACTCCAATCCCTTGGAACCTTACGCTTCGCTCAAGGCAGCTTTCGCCGTAGAGCCTCACAAGGCCGGCAAGACGACCGGGACAAAGCTGATTACAGCCGCAGCAGGCGGTTCCGGCTCATCTGTGATTGGGGAACCGTCCGGTGCCAATGATGCTCACATGTTCCAGCTCAAAGAAGCACTGCTAGCCTGCAATCCAGCCAAACTTGTTCTTGCGGTCGCCTCATCGGATCCCAAGGAATTGGACGCAATTGAAAAGGTTGCGAAAGAACTGATTGCGTTTGTCACGACAACAAAGGCCATGCTGGGAGCATTCAAAGACGACAAGACTGACGCCCGCAAAAGTCGACGAGCGGTGACAACTGGCCAGGAGTTCAACCAAGGCGAGAAACATGCCTCTGTCAGTGAAACCCCCGACGACAAGGGCAAGGCTGCGGAACAGCAGAAGACGCGGCCAAACGAGAGTCATGCCTCTGTCGGTGAAAACCCCGAAGATGGCAAAGACCAGGATCCGAAACAGCATCAGGATCGCCCAGACAAATACAAGAAGATCCCCGGCGCCAAGAGTAGCGCTACGAGCCATCAAACCGCTCACCGTGTTGTTCCAGAGAACGAATCCAACAACGACGAATCCAATGACGCTGTCATTCACCCCCCTCGAGAAGGGCCCCATCAGGAATGCACGGAGGAAGCTAGCAGTGGTGATCTACCAATGGAGGATTGTGGGCTCAATCTGCCAGCCACTGGTGTTTCGGAGAATAAATTCACCGACGATGGCACTACTGGACTAATAGCTGTGAAGAAGAACGTTTTTGGGCTTATCCGGCCATCGTCTACTGACACAAAGAACCAATCCAATGACATGCATCAGCCTCGAGACGGGTCAGGTCTGGAAACGGACAAGCTGGTTTCTGCCACCGCGGACCAGCCGGTTGCTGCCTCACCGTTTTGCAACCAAACCGGCCAGAAGCGTGTTGCCAAGGAAGTGCTCGAGTCGACACCCCCAAAACGACGATCTGTTTCTCATTCGGCGGTTCCCGATAGCCAAGCTGCTACCACCAGCCCTGATCTTTCTAATGGCCAAGTTTCTGATCATTCGGCTGTTCCTGATAGTCGAGCTACCACCAGCCCTGGCCTTTCTAGTGGCCAAGCGGACAATATTGTTGATGTTTCGGCTGTTCCCGATAGTCGAGCTGCTACTGGCAGCCCTGATGGCAGCCCTGACCTTTGTACTGACGAAGCCGACAACAATGTTGATCATTGCAGCCCTGACCTTTCGGCGGTTCCCGAAGCACGTCGCGTTGCAGAAGAAGGAAAACTGGCAACTAGCCAGCTCTTGCACTCTCACATTGGTTTCACTCGAAAGGAAATCAACCAGAATCAAGCCTGGAAAGCAATTGGCCTTACGAAAAAGTTTGGATCGGGTGCTGGACTTGCTCCCAACTTGGCGTACCTGTCCGTGGAGGCTGGGCAAGTAGCCCTAGACGAGGACACTCCTGGAATGCTGACCGTTACGTTTCTGCTTCCAGGGCCCGAACGCATCAAGATAAAGGAGCAACTTGATTCTCTGGAAAAGCCTATTGCACTCTTTTGGACGGAGTCGCAGCTTGAATCCGGCGAGAGACTCTGGCACTACATTGGCCATTACCAGTGCGAAAAGATTTGTGAGGAAGAAGTTACATTTTCTGCATCCTTTTGCTGGAACAAGTTCCATGAAAAGGTGGCCACCAAGCTGGACGAGATTGCCGCTGATGGGGCCACTGTTGCTTGCTGCTCACACTAACTAGAGATCGGCACCCTTGGGGCAAAGAAGAAATCGGTGCAATTGGGATGAAGAATCTTTCTGACAAACCAGGACTCTATGCAAGACCAGGTAGGTCGCGGCGAGCTCATTTGAAGAGGTTCATGTGAGCTAGCCCGGTTGACGGACACCATATACATACATACATACATACATACATATTATAGTTTGAAGAGATATAAGAAACCCGTTGAGTAGGCAAGGACTTGGCGAACGTATCTAGCTAGACTTTACATCAATGTCATAGTTGGTGGCAGAGCCGTACGCTGTATTTCCACTGTGCCATGCAATGGTGTGGAAGCGTTTCGTCTTACGTTAGCCAGCCCGAATTTGGATCTTTAGAGTACTCCCTTTCCTATAAGCCATTTCCCCCTGTGCAATCTCTCAACTCTTTTGAGGAGTGAGCAGGTGCAAAGTTCGGAAGAAGATTGCAGCTTAGCCAGTGGCACTATCGTAGCTAGCTAGAGCCAAAAGGTTCCTACTATTTCAAAATTGTGAGGGCCTTTGCCTTGGCAATCTTTTAAAAACATAGAGTACATACTTCATGGGGGTGGACTTTTGGGAGGACAGGTTCCAGAGAAGGATGCAAGAGCGTGAGCGGAACAACCGAATGAGCGTACCAACGGCAAACCCAAGAAGGAAAAGATGGCAAGAGAGTAGGGCTGATGAGAAGATCACATGGCACAAGACTAGTGGAAGAGATCAAGAGCCCCTCCATTCTGCCGTACTGTATAGCTCATGCTGCCGCTACATTTTGCTGTCTTTACAGCTCGTATCGTTGGGCAGATAGATAGAATCTTATATACAAGGTAAACATGAGCGGTTCTGGGAGTATCTTCTGGAAAACAAAGGTGCATGCTTATCAGCTCAGCAGGGTTGGTTTTGTAGAAGCTTGGAAGAGCACCCACCATCGCCAACGTCCTCTCACAACATCCTCTCACTTCGAGTACGCTGCGGCATCCATGGACTGCTGTTGATGTGTTGATGGTGGTGCACCTGATCATTATTAGTGAATGAGAATCATCAAGTCCATTGTAGTTTTGTCTGTTACCGATAGAATTGTGTGAAGAAAGAAAGGAAAATGGAGGATCCAACCATGGACAGTAATCACAATGAGACGATCTTGCGTCCCGACCATGTTCCGTCGCAGTCGACCGCCGCGGATGATACAGCTGCTGCCGTGGCAGTACCGTCCATGCCACAACCGGTAGCACCGTTGCCGACGACTGCCGTGGATGGACAGGGCATGTGGCGCGCTTGGACTCGTGTCTTTGAGAAACCTTCTGCCGCTCTCTTGGATCTTTTGGACAATTCCTTTGATGCCGCTCTGCATGCCGATTTTCAAGGACGGGTCGTCATGGACTGTCTTTTGACAGAGGAACAACAGCAACAGCAAGACACACAAGTTCCAGCTACCTGCACGGGTATTACCATTATGAACAATAGCAAATTCGAAATCAAGAGTCTCGAAGAAGCTTTGACCGTCTACAAATCCACCAAGAATGCTGAGCAGGAAGACGAGCAAGAAGAAGACGACAATAAGAGCACGGAAGAAGGATCGTCGTCACGCAAAACTGTGATTGGGGAAAATGGAGTCGGTAAGCACATTTGAACTCATTTTCAGGGTTAGAAGAAGAAAGGGTGGACTCACACATTTCCTCTTTATTCTCTGCTCCTATTCTAGGCCTCAAACACGGCTGTGCGACGCTCTCGGATACGTCCTTTGTATTGACACGCAACCATACAACGATTCAAGTGGGTGTCATTGCCAAATCTCTACAGTCAGTCAGGGGAGTGTATTTGCCCTCGTTTACGTTCGAGTTGGAGCAACAACAAGCCGACAACAATGAAGATCAGGACGGACAAATCTACCAACACATTAATGACATGATTGATATTCAACCTCGCATGGGGGACGTGTTGGCACAATCGTTGGGAGAAGGTGAACTTCACAAGGGCATTACCCTGTTGGCCCAGCGCATTCAAATCATGTCGTGGAGTGACGATTGGCAGCACGAAGATCACGTCTTTCAGCTCTTACTGTGTCATTTGCATCACCTCGGCGAGATTGAAATCATTGATGTGGACAACCCGGAAGCGAGTGACATTATCTCGGCCAAGGCATTCTTGGACGAAATTCAAGCCATGCTCCCCGAATATTACATTAATATCCCGTCGACCTTTGATTTTCGGATTGATGGAGAACGCATCCACTTTTCGTTTTGGCAGCATCGATTGGTGGAATTGACGCACTTTCCAATTCATGTTCCCAAAGAAAACAATTTGGATGACTACCAGGCTAGTTCGGATTGGATTCGAGAGGGCTATCCACTCAACATTTACTGCGGATTTGATGCCCAACGGGTGGATTGGGATGTCCACAATGGAAGCGTTTCACCCTGGTAAGAAGTGAACAGAAGGGAATAAATAGTTGTGCATCACGACGTACTTGTTTGTAGTGGCGGCTCACTCGCATGTCGCTTTTTTTCTGCATCTCTCAGCATGATGTACATTTATAGTCGACAAGCGGGACGTCTCATCAAGATTGATGATGATGCGCGTCTATTGTTGAATCTTTGCGCCAGTGGGTCGGATTATATGCAAGGATTGACGATCATTATTGATGATTATACCGCCAATCTACCGCTCCAACCTACCAAAGATGGGATTGCCTGGTCGGAAAATAGAGGTGGCGATGTCCACAGGACCAATCTGCTGGCATGGGCGGGTGCTGTGGCGCAATGCTTTTGGAAGGAAAATTTCAAAAAGTTTGATACCAAGTCGACTGGTGGCAGAGCGAAACTCATGTTGAAAAGAGTGATTCGGTCGTTTGCGGTCGATCAGCTTGAAGACCTGGAACAATGCCTGGAACAAGAACACGGTGACGATGATGATGACGATGAGGAGGACAACAACAAGGAGAAAGCTGCTGCTAGAAAGAGAAAGCAAAAGAAAGTGGCAGAAGAAATGGCCAACGCGTAAGTTGATTCATGTTCCTGATTTGTCACAGTTAGTTTTGCCGCGTCACATCCCTTTTCTTACCTTGTTGGTTGTACCTGATGCTTTCCCTCATGCACCCTGCTCCTGCTCCCGCTGGCACCCGCAGTGACTTTAATCGCTACGAAAACGTCAGGTGGAGAAAAGACCTCAACAAATTTAAAAAGTTGGTCATTCGACGGGTCCCTCGTGTTAGTGGCTTCAATATCAAAAAGGGAAGTGACACTTTGTACGAGATTACACCTGCACGGATTGAAGAAGTAAAGACCAATGCCAAGGCGGAACGACTGGGCAGCATCCCCCGGCCGAAAAAGCAAGGACCCAGAAAGCGCAAGTACACCATTTCCATAGAGCCCAAGCCAACGAAAGCGTCTGCTGCAGAGGCCAAGAGCAAGAGCAATAATAACAAGAATGACGACGACAACGTGGACAGCACCGAGGTTGCTGGGAAGCGACAAAGGCGCTCACGTTCCACCCCTATTCAATACACCGATCCCGTTAGTGACCAAGGTGAGGATTCTGAAGACCTGATCGAATACACCGTACCCGTTCGCAAAAGCACGAGGAAGAGAAAGGCCACCCGCAAGGCAGCAACTCGTCGCAAGAAATCCGTGACTGATGTGGCTGACGACGACAGCGACAATGAAGCGGAACCGGTTGCCGCCGCGAATCCTGATACATCCATTTTGGAGCAGAAGTTGCTCGAGTCAGACATTCTATTGAAGCAAGAACAACTGAGGAGTATCAAAGCTGAACGTGCGTTGCAAGAAGGGAAGGATTTGGTTGCGAAACTACAGGCAAAGCTTGAACGATACCAGGGAAAGCCACCACCCCCCGGTTATCAACCCGATGATGATTCAACCTTACGGGAGGAGTTAAACCGCGTGAAGGAAGAGCGAAACAGCTACAAGCACCGGCTGGATGCCAGAATTGATCAAGGAGCCAGAGTGCAGGAGCTCTACAGACAAAACAAACTACTTCGAGAACAACTGCAAGAGCAAGGGGGAGAACCCATGTCTGTGTTGCTCAAACGAGTGGACAAGCTGGAAGCAAGAATCAAGAGGCGTGATATGACAATTCTCAAGTTGGAACAAGCGGCACCCAATGACACCTTGTCCACTGCTGAACCTGTTGCAGCTGTGAGCCCCGAAAAGGCCACGGACGGTGAAATCATCCAATCCATTTGAATGGCCAAAGAATCTCACGGACCCCACGACAGCCCACGCACCATGAAGCTATACAATCCTGTTTCACCCAACAATTCGATTTAAGCAAAACATCTATAGGAAACCTTCTTTCCTTCTATCATAATTCGTGCTGCATTTGTGGTGAAGGGAGTTCGGTGATGCTGTCAACAACATGAACATACCGGTACAGTACAAGCGTATGTTTTGTACCGAGGGAGACTGGCTGCTCTTTTGAGCCCATGAACCTTTGAACACGCCTTGGTTCTCGGTTTGCTTCTTGTACTCATCGCCCTGTTTGACTGCGTCCTTCGAGCCAGTTTCGTCACCACCAGAGATTGAATCCAGCGGAGACACACACCGCTGTTTGTATTGTCCTCAAACTACCTAATTTGGACCCCAGCTCATGTAAGAAGGACTAGCACAAGTTTTGCTCTTGATGACAGATTGGTCGGATGTGGGTGTTAGTAACTGGCTGCTTCCCGCCTGCAAGGAGGACTAGCTGCTTCCCCCCACCCGCGATTGCGAATATCCGAAGCATGGGGAACGGTCCAAGTTACCATTGCGTTGCACAAAAGGCATATTCAATATTCACGAAAGACAGGTTTATCCATCTACCTACATCTTGGGTTTGCCGCATGCGCCCTTATGAGGAATACACCTTCGACCATGCTCTGTACCAACGATTGTTGTAATTCCTGTCCCATCCATCAAGCGCATGAGCTGGTAGTGTGACAATCGTTCGTGTTTGTCGGGCAAGTGACGCATCTTCTCATGAAATCCACAGGCATACCAAAAGATTGCCCGTCGTTCTCGGCAAAGGGGATAGTGGGGTGGCAAGCCCGGTTTGAAGTTGGGTCCGGCATTTTCGTCGCAGCAGGCGTCTTGCTCGTGCACCGTCAGGACATTTGGAAACTCATCTTGCAACAAAAAGGTGCCTCGTTGTGGATCCATCCCCTTGACATCAGATTCGTGAGGAATGGGTTGCCAACGATGTGGGAGTATGACCCCACCCTTGTCCACTTCTTGTTTGATGGCAGGCAAGGATCCCGGTCGAGTTGTTAGGATGGTATCAGGCTCTGTGAGGTACACATATTGCCAAAAGGATGGATCGTGAGTAGTTCCTAGCCAGGCAGTGACGTTTTCTTGCATTTCCACAGTCCATTCATCCTTGGGTACTTGCAAAGTATAATTCAAGGCTTGCTGCAATGTCATCAAGGTTGATCTGGGCATGTTCTTGTTCAATAGCTTTGTCTTGATGAATTCAGCGGAGCTGAAAGCATAGCCCACCTCCATTTGACCAATGGTGCTGATCAGATTACTCTCATTCGAGTTATCCTCTTGGTTCAGAGGGTCGACTTGCTGTTTCAGGAATCGAAAGGCATCTTGGACGGGCGCAATATCAGCATCTACGAGAATCCCCACCACAACCCGGCCCATTCCAGCCCTTCGGAGTGACTCCATCGTGGCTGCAAGAGATAGTGCTGTCAGGTTGTGTCCCAGTTGTGGGTTGGTCGCATGCTTGTAGGACTGAAAGGCAATCACGGCCAGCGTGTTCTGCAGAACTCTTTCTTCTTGCAGATTGTTGTCATTGTTGTGTGCCGTTACAGCAGCGGAAGAAATGTAGTTGCGAAGCTTGCTGGAAATCGAATCATAGGCAATCGTATCATTCTGGTGCAGGTCCCATTCCAAAATTTTCCACCATCGGGACAAGTGCTCGACCGACCAGTCCATCCAATCGTAGGTCATGCGCATTTTGGGAAGACGACTGCCATCATAGGCTCGAAAGGAAGCCATTTCGCAACTGTGGACCCGATCAAATGGCATGGTCATGAAATCAGCGCGAGATTGCAACCACGAGGCAGAAAATCCATCAAGACGATGGAGGCGGGAACTGTTCAAAAAGTGAACCTGATTTGTCGCAATCTTGATGGACGAAGTGCGATTTTTGGTTGGGACATGGAGGGATCTGGCAGATACATTTGCAATGGCTGAATTCTCGACAGAATGTGCAGCGGTCTCGAGCAAGAAATCAGAGGGTATATCTTGTCGCTGTCGGAACAACACCAAGAATGTCAGCCAAGCAAAAAATGTGGCAAAGAACCAAACTCTGTAGACCTGGAATGCTCGTTCAGCTCTTTGACGAGTGGTTCTGCTGCCTGGTTGTGCGGTTGTCATGGTGGAATGTATGGGAAGTTTTTGTGCTATTTTTGATTCTAGCTCTAGGATACGTGTAGCAGTTGTGAGATCATTTTACTTTGAGCTCATTCGAATGACCAATGCCAAGATACCATGGCTGTGCGGGGGGATCTCGGATGGAACGAGGATCTTTGGATCTTTCGCTTCGGATAGTACAGTAGAGTTCAGGTTGACATCGCAGACCTGTCAGAAGGCCTAATATTGGCTGCGAGAGGCACGAGGGATTTAGAGGTACCATTCGGAAGACTGCTTGGAGAAAGTTTTAAAAACAGAATTCAATGGACGCTGGAAGCTGGAAGCCTTGCGAACTTGCGAAGGGTCATTCTGATCATGGTCTTACGTTCGTTCTGCTGCTGAAAGAAGAGGACAGCCAGCCGGAGGCTAGTGCCCTCAACTTGCATTTTTCTAAAAGCCAAGGAACGGAAGGGTTCTGGTTCTGGTTTGCCCCCTACCGGTAGCCTTAACCTTGCAAGGGAAACAGCACCATATGTATGCGACACTACCGGTAGCCTTAACCTTGCAAGGGAAACAGCACCATATGTATGCAAGGGAAACAGCACCATATGTACGTAGCTAGCCTTAACCTTGGAAGGGAAACCGCACCATATGTACGCGACACACACACACACACACACACAACAAGATAAAGTTCAAAAGGCCCTCAGCTTGCTAGCTGGTAGTTGAGGGCAAAAAGGGGAGTGGGAGAGTGCGTGTGGTGGTTTCGTGCCATGCTGCGTCGGGTTGTGGAGGCCCTGGGGTTGCCTCCTCATACACCTGCCACAGTTAGTTGTATGAAGGAGATTCCCTTCAGGGCTGATATCTACTAGTAGTAGATCTCATTGACCGTTCTTTTTCAAAAGTTGGTTCCATTTGACGATTGAAAGAAAGGATGAACGTAGCGGAGGCTGAGATAGACCAGGTGGATCGCCCAAATGAAGAGGTGCGGAGCTGCACAAGATAATGATGGGAATGAAGCAGCAGAAGATGATGGGAACGAGGAAAACCAGCAGCAACGCCCAGTGCCTCCTGCGATGGATGCATCCATGGTCGTGACAAATCAAGAACGTGAATGGGCTCGGGCCATCAAAACTGCCATTGAGAGCTGCCCTGATCTGGACAAACTCTCCGATTTTGAGTACTGCCAGTGGCATTATTGACGAGACGATGTGGGAGCTGCTGTTGATAGAGCCATACTTCAGGGATTTGGCAGGAATATGATATTCAAAACACTCTGGAAGATGCACTAGTGGCTTTGCGCAACCATGTTTTTTTGATGCCCCAATTCTACCTTGATTTTCGCTACAACCTCTCCACCGGTGGATATGCCGCTATTGATATGAGACGCTGTGATCTGAAGACACTGAGAACAGAGAAAGGTTGGAAAATGCATGCTGCAGGCAATTACTACATGTTGCATGCCATGGGCCCAGACTTTCACAGTATTCAAACTGGGGTCACATTTATGTTCGAGTGTGATAGATTCAGTATGGCCTCCAACTTGGACTTCAAGATTACCAGGAAACTCAGCACAGAATTGTTCACTGTGTACCCTTTTACCGCTGACAAAATGAACTTCTTCCATACTGGCCTCTTCTCCAGCATGCTGATCTCCTCATGTCGCATGGTGTTGCCCAAGTCAATTGCTTCCAAATCCATGTGGGTTGCATCTTCCCTGATGGTCGCTTGAGCCAATTTTACAATACACCTGATCCACAAACTACAATAGAACGAACGATTGAGCTCATGCAAAAGAGTGTTCGGAGGCGATACACAATGCAAGCTGTGTTTAAAATGGATTGAAGTAATGATATCTTAATAATAGCTTTGTTGATATGATGTACCATATATCTGACAAATGCAATTGATCCAAGTTCATTCTGGGTTTCATGATGGTGCCCGATATTTAAAGTTTGCAATCCAAAGCATACTGGTAGGGAACACTGAATGGAGAGGCACAACCATCACAAAGAGCAGGAAGGGGTGGGGGGTAAGATGGTTCGGGAGAAAAAGGGCATCAACGAGGAGCCAAGCGATTGAGACAGGATTTATCGCGCTTATCTGGTGTGGCTTGGTAGGTTTTGCACGCGACGGTCTAGAGGTGGTGCCATCTGATCCATCCCAGCAGGTACCATAGTGTCTAGACACTCCAAGGTTTTGTTGGCAAGCTAGTCGCTTCAAATTCTAAAGGAATACCAGGCCCTGAAGGCCCGTCAATCCCTGGGCACACCCTGCCCAACTCCTCCAGGACCTACTGATCTACTTTCACAAAACCCACGCACCTGGGCCAATTGCAGGATCTCTACTATTGTTTTGGTCGCTCCTAAACTCTCGACCTCCTATTTTAGCTGAGTCCTAAATTTCTGCGTGGTTTTAGCAGGTTTTTTCGCGCAGCCCGCGCGAAATAAAGATCATTAGTTTGCTCAACGGATATAGTAGATCGATACTAATAGATTTAGAGGACCGACCTGCCAGCTCTGGCTGCACCCAAAACCTGAGCGAGATTTTTTGGACTGAGCTAAAATCGCAGGCCAGCCCACCGAATTGGCTCTCTACTATTAGATGAGTCATGTTTCGTGGTACGGCACCACTACTAGCTAGCTAGTGCTGATCGTCCTCCTTTCGGTGCATCAATCCGAGAGCATCAAAGCAGAGAGACAAAGTTTTGCTGCTATCATGCCTCGCTCTAGAAGGCAGCATCCACAACTGACTGCAGCAGCCAGTGCTGCTGCCGCCGCCCATCAACAGAATGTTAATCCTCCAACAGCTGCTGCCGCTGCTACTGGCGGCAGGGCAGTTCGTGATGCCAATGAAGCAATTGCAACTACCAGGATGGCTGCTTTCATCAAGGACACAAGAAAAGCTCTTGTTCCCACAGCAACAGACAAGGCCTACAATCCCAAAATTGCAGAGTGGGAAGACTTCTGCAGAAAGGTCTATGCGCATGATAAATTTATGTACAACATGACATGGCAAAAAGTATTTTGGTTTATGTTCTATCAAGCCTTTCGCGAGCAGAAATCCAGAGGTGGCAACAAGAAGAGGCGAACTGAAGGAGCAATCTTTGACCACGATGACTACAAAAAGGTTGTCGGTGTCTTCTTCCGTGGGAATGGCGAAACCGGAGAGACAGAAAACAACAATCAACAACAGCCACGAGAACCTCCCAATCCCAATGCTGCAGACTTTGCCTTTCCACAACCCCAAAAGCCAATTGGTGAGCAAATGTTCAATGGGTACAAGGCAGTGTTGAAGAATGTGCACATGGACCAAGTTGGCAATGGTGTTTGCAATGTGGCTTGGGAGTTCATCTGGACAACAGACCTCAAGGCACTCCACAAGCATGTCAAAGAGAGGATTCCTCGACTGAAAAAAGCGCAGTACGTGGAAAAGATTGTTGGCCGGTCCAGATATTTAGCGGACCCGGATAAGAAAAAGACCGCACACCGTAGGAATTTAAGGAAACTGGCATTCTCAGATCCAGACTTCAAAGCGACCAGCCAGAAAGATCACTTTTTCTTCACAGCTCGCCCAAATCAACAAATTAACCTTGATATTACTAGTAGCTGCAGTGTTTATTAGACCCAACACTGTGAAGAAAAAGGTTTGTATTGAGTTTTCCATGGAAATAGGTATTGTAATAGTGAGAAAGAACTGAGAGAAACAGCGGCTCAGGTATTGACAGAGGTGCTCTGTAGCCCCCTATAAAGGCAAAGCAACAGAGCTAACAGAGAAAATTCGCCTCACATTTTCGCTCACCCATTCAAGCTCTCGGAGCATCGGCCGATCGACTTGTCGACCGATTCAGAGCAAACCAAGCACATCAGCGTCGAGAGCAAGCTAGCCGGTCCATATTGATGCTTGAACCAAGGTCATCCGACAAGAATTGAAGAGTAATCGCCGATCGCGTTTTTGGGTACCCACTCTACGAGCAAAAGCCGATCGACGCGAACGAACACGACGACGAACCAAGAGAGATACAGCTACGGCCGCATACAGGATCGAAAGAGGACCTATGCCGCTATGCCACAACAAGTTCAAGCTCTCAACTCCGAAAATTAGCGAGATACGACCAATCGAGTCAAGCAGTGCTGAAGCGCGGGATTCCTACAGCCCGACAGTACTCGACGCACTGAATTTCAGCGGTGAGCCATTCCAGCCTATGAAACTCATCCACTGAGTCTATACAACACCAATACAAGTATCTATAACAAGAAGAAGGCTTCGAGCGACCGATAGAGTCCATCGGTAGCATCCTCCAAGCTCAAACGGTGTGAATTTCGTGTGAGCCACAGATAGAGCCACGAAGACCCGACGCGATAGGAACAAGCCAAGTTTAAGGCAGGAGCAGTCACAGGAGTGACAATATAGACCCACAAGAAGGCTACCTGATCAATAGGAAATAAGAGGAACCACCTCCAGCTCCACCAGCGTCCCAAGTCCCAAGTAAACCATATCAAGTACACCGTATCAGTACAAGTCCACGCAGCCAGTAATTCCTCAAGGCAAATAAACCATATCAAGAGCAAGATGACACGATTCAACAACAGAGGAGCCGTGGCAACAGAGGAGGAGGCAGAGGCTCCTCCGCAGAGGCCAAGCGCCGGTAGAGGCGGTGCCAGTGTGGCGGTAGAGGCAGAGGACAAAGCAACCGCGCAAGTCCTGTTCCATCCCAATGGACAGGCTGACTCCAGTTTTATCCGTTTACAGAGACATTAACCACATTGTGGCTACTTTCAGAACCAGGTCAGAGTGGATAGACGTTCCCAAAGCGTCACTGGCCATTGAGACTATGCAAGACCAGACGCCGACAGAGCCAACGGAACCATCCTATACTACGGTGCTGACGGCAAGAAGATATATGACGAGCTCAAGCAACTCTCTACAAGAATAAGTTATCTACTGGCAGAAGCAGGAAACTGATACAAGAATGCCCTGCAGAATGGGGCAGCCAGCATTACCAGTTTTATTGTACCGAAAGATGAAGAGCAAGCTACGAAATCTCCATGACTGGGAGCAGATCAAACTAGATCCCATTAAAGTCCTAGGCAAGATCCGAGGACTGACTGCCGCAGCACCACCAGAGAGCATCCGTTGTCCAGTTCGTCAGCCAGTTACAGCGTGCCCTTTCCCCCAAGCAAGAGGAAGGAGAACCGACTGATGTCTTTCTCCGTGAGTGGCTGCCGACTCGGTTCAGATTGCTGACATCGTTGGCACAGGATACATGGATTGTTTCCTTCTGAAGCAGCCCGAGTACGAGAAGATCAAGGATGACCAAGACAAGGTGAAAGAAGTACCTGAATGACGTCGCAACGAGATCATTGCTTCATTGGCTACAGAGGGTATTCCCAGGACGGTATGGCGACTATCAGCTACCGTGGAGGCGTCCTAAGCCATGGATGGCACGAGTAATTATCCCACGAGCCTTGAAGCTCTCGTGAGACCCTCAACTCTGATCGATTCAAGCCCAGCAAGGAGTGGTATGAGGCCAGACGGCCCGTGCCAAGGGCTCTGGCCAGCCCAAGACGATGACCCAACCAAGAAGGAGTTTGGTGTCAATGCCGTTGTCCTCTATCAGCGAATAAGCGAGGCGAGTCCTGCTACTGCTTGGCAATCCCAACCACAAGTTGCCGGATTGCAAAGTCCGAGACAAGATCCCCAAACCCGAGTGGCGATTAACAAGTTCCAAGGTCTGAAGAAGAGTTCTTCCAACAGTACCATCAGTTTCGTGAAGCTTCACGGCTCCGGTCCACAGACAGTTACCGCAGCCCAGCTCCCCAGCAACAGTCTGCGATGAGCCCCGATGCTCATCGCACAGGAGTGAGTTCCGACCCAGTTTCAGCCCAATTCCACCAGGATCGATTCCACCACAGCTCCAAGCACACCAAGCGCAAGCCCAGCAATTCCAGCAGTTCCCATCGTCTGCTCCGCCGCTGGCTCGACAATTCCAGGCGTTGCCACTCCATCAAGCAACGAGTTCCAGTTCCGTCCGCAGTACCACCAAGTAGGATCCAGTTCCCGTTCCGAACCAAGTCCAGCCTTAGCCCAAGTCCACAGCCCAGGCGCAGAAAGTACCGTTTGCACAGGAGTGGACTGCAGTTAGATGACGGTTTGAACAAGCTGAGTTGCCTCTTCATGGGCCAATATGGCCGTCGTAAGAATGAACGAGCAGCCAGACAGCCGATCGATATGCAGGACAAATGTGCAAGGCCGAATGGACCGAGAGATGGATGCACCCTGGGGAGTATCATACAAGAACCCAGGAGGCGTGGCTAATATTAATGCCCTTGGTATTCTTTCGGATGAGTGCAGAGCAAAGCAAGATGGTCGAGAGTTTGGATGGACACCGCATACGATGATGCCATGTACCACCTCCGTGGAGACGGTTTCTATGTCAGATATGGAAGGACCAAACTCGGTCTGTATTGTACCGACATCGATGACATCGAAAGCAAATCATGAACTCCTACGAGAAGCAGAACTCACCAGCCGTTCTTATCAGATGGTCCAGACCGTCGAAGGAAATATAGAAGGTTCACCAAGAAGCAAAAGTGAAGGGAGCTTTCAAGCAAGAGAGCTCTATGCGAATCTCCAACGTCCGCCTTTAGAAGACTTTAAGAATATGATCCAGCCGGGCAGATCCGCGATTGCCCCGTGATGTTGGGAGGATATCAATAATGCCGACTGATCTTTGGCAAGACATGCCAAGATCAAAGGTCCACTACCCGGAAGCGTCCACCACAGCTACCGAGAGTGTACATGCAGTTCCCTGAAGAGTTGGTGTCCTATCACCGAAATGGGCTACAGGTGCCATGGATGTCGTTAATATTTGTGGTCTCAACTTTCTCTCCTTTATCGATTTGAAAGTTCGATACAGGCAGATCGTCCATTTGAAAGATTTGACCACGGACTCCTATTATCAGGCCCTGGATCAGATTATGGACACGTACAACGGGAATAAATTCTACATCGGAACCATCCAGTGTGACAATGCGTTCAAGCCGTTGATGGACCCGATCAAGAACGATATGGGTGTGAAACTCGACCATCCGGCAGACAGTGCACGCTCCCGTCGCAGAGCGAAACAACAGGACAATCGAAGACCGTTTCCGAGCAGTTTCCACGCAGTCCCTTTTCAAGTGATGCCGAAAATTATGGTGAAGCATCTGGTCTACGATTGCAATGAAAAATTGAATACTCTTCCCAGCAGCCGAGGGAATCTCCCGTGTTTACCCTCCAAGGCAGATTTTGACTGGTAAGACCACAGGCTACATGATGTCAGTATACGTTTGGCAGTTTCTGCATGGGTCATCACGAATCCCCTGCAGCCGCAAGAACAGTGCCGAGCCCCGTGGGTGGATGCATTCTATCTGCGTCCAATCCTGGACAACAGCAAGGGTGGCCATTATTTGTTGGACTTGCACACCTGGAAGTGAAGACACGCCAGTATGTTGACATTCTCCCGATGCCCAAATTGTGATTGAGCGTGTGGAAAGAAGGCCTACAGTGAGGGATGAAGCCGCTACAGACCCACAACCGAAAGCAAGTGGAGTTTTTGCCTGTCGGTTTGCCGGCAGGAGTGGCGGGAAATCTAAGGAAGCGAAAGTTACATGCAACATTTTTCCATTGATGAAGAAGAGGACGATGCAGAACCAATCGCGCCAGTTCCAGATTGGTTTGACAACACTGTCGATAGCGACGATGAAGATGATGGATCGGTCCCAGGTTTGGTGCGAGACCACAATATGAGCAGCGATGAAGAGGACAGTGACGACGAAGAAGACGAAGTGACATTGTGATCGAAAGGTTAACAAGAGAAGTTCCAGGCAATCCGACAGAGCAAGCAAGCAATCGACCAAGCATTGTGGACCAATGGATGGACCGTTTGAAGGCCCAGCCAAAGCAAGAAGTTGACAAGAGTTGGATCCGCAGGTCTGCCAGGATCGCAGCCAAGCAAGGAACCGCAAAGGGAGTCACTTTCGCACAGGAGTGTACCAAGACTGAAGATCAGGAATCGAAGAGAAGAAGCCGCTTCTGTATGAGACGACGGCGGCAAAACGATGGCACAGTTCATCATGAGATCAACACGGTAGGATCAAAGATGACTCCGTGGAAGGAGCAAGTATGCGCAGCAAGCACTCTGTTGCCCAAGGGATTGAAGATCTGGGGTGACAGGGCCAAGGCCGCAGCACGAAAAGAGATGATCAGCTGCACAGCGTGTGGCATTCGCTCCAGTTAGGCCAGAGGGACTGTAAGAATCGAGCTCAAGAAGTCTACAAGTGCACTCATGTTTGTACGGAAAGCGAGACGGAACCATCAAGCCAGATCCGTTTTCAATGGAAGCCAACGAGAGTATCCAGGAACAAGGATTAAACACGAAGATCCGACAGTTTCGCCTTGAAGTGTTAATGTTGTCGATTGTGCGTTGTCGTGCTAGTGAAGGCGCGAGTGATGACTTTGGATGTACCCAATGCTTTTATTCAGAAGCGTTGCCGCAACCAAGGGTGTGGGTGATAGGGTGATCATGAAAGATTGAAGGCATTCTTGCAGAACTGCTGTGGAAATCGACCCAGACAACTTACAAGCCATTCCTTGTACTATGAAGAAGGGGAGACCTATCCTCTACGTTGGTGGTACTGAAGGCACTTTATAAATGCTCATTGCGAGTCTAATTTGGTACAAGGCATTCGCAAGGATTTGGAGTCTATTGGTTTTTTATTCAACCCCTATGATCCTTGTGTCGCCAACAGGTGGTCAATGGCAAGCAACAAACTATCCGTTTCCATTCGACGACACTCATGTCAATCATATGATGGCCAAGGTGAATGATGATTCCTGGCTTGGTGCAACGAGAAGTATGGTACATACGGTGCTGTCAAAGCAACAGAGGACCCAAGCACGAGTATCTAGGGATGACGATTAATTTTTCGAGAGTCTGGCAAATCAAGATCGATATGATTGACTATTTGACCAAGGTGCTCGAAAGAGTTCCCTGTAAACTTTGATCGTGTGGTATTAGTTCCGAGTGCGCCAGCTGATTTGTTTTCATGTGGAGTGACGGTGGACATAACTGGACCCTGACACGAAGGATACCTTCGCCAGAAACAGCCAAGTCTCTTCGCCATGTAACGTGCATCGTCAGACTGCAGACATTGACTATCGTCCTTTGTACTCGAGTTAAACAGCCGAACCAGAACGTTTGGGGAAAACTTCTCCAAAGGCCTCAAGTTTATTCAACCGACTTTGAACGAACAGCCAATCCTCCATGCTGACGACGTTCGCTATTATTCGCTGGTTGGTGGATGCGCGAGTTTTGCTGTACCACCCAGACTACGATCCCATACTGGAGGGAGTGCTCAGTTTCGGCGCGGTGCACCACATTGCTGTCTCTAGCAAGCAGAAACTCAACGCCGCAGCAGTACCGACTCCGAACTCATTGGGGCCGACATGTTATGAGGTCTTTGTGTGGACCAAGTTTTTCTGGAGGCTCCAAGGTGTTGATGTTCAGAGAACATCCTTTATCATGACAACAAGAGTGCTATCTTTCTCGCTGAGAATGGTTAAGTGCAGCGCCGGTAAGCGTATCGTGCTCTTAATGTGCGTTCTTCTTATTCACGACCAAATGAAGCAGGAAATGTACAAGTGGTGTATTGTCCACCAAGGACATGCACGGGGACTTTCTCACTGAAGCCCCTCCAAGGTTGCCCTATTCCATGCGCATCGCGCTTTTATTATGGGGCATCCTCCTATTTAGTTTAGTTTTATTCGTTCCGTGGATCCATTATGGACCACGGCCGGCAGGTAGGGGATGATATGTGTTGGCGGTCCAGATATTAGCGTACCCGGATAGAAAGGAAACCGCACCACCGTAGGAAATTTAGGAAACTGGATTCTCAGATCCAGACTTCCCAAAGCGGCGCCAGAAAGATACTTTTTTCACAGCGTCGACCCAAACTCAAAGATAACTTGAATATAACTAAGTAGCTGCAGTGTTATAGACCCAACAAAGATGGATGGGTCCTTTGCGCCGTACCAAATCGTGGAGAAGTTTCCAGATATTGAAGAACAGTTTTGGAAGGACAGTGACAACGGTGCCCGCAGAAGCCTTTCATCTTACATGCGACATCGAGCTTGCCTACTGTACCTGACAAGTGGCATCCTGCGCGGTGAATCTCTGTACAAGGCTGATGTGTCTGATTTCTTTGGACTTAGGCCCCCAAAGAAAGAGGTGGGCGTGCATTTCATATGTTTTTGATGTGAATGCAATAGACTAGAAGGGAAGACCACACATGGCAAGAAGCAGTATGGTAGGGCTACACGTCACCGCGATGTCAGGCTTTGCTGTATCGGTGGTATTGCTTTTTACATGGCAGTGAGAATCTACATCACCGGTGAATTCGAGTCTATGTCTGTGGATGACTGGCAGAAGAACGAGCTATGGTTTGACATCAAGTTCATGTCAACGGATCACAGCGGATGACACCTATGGTTAACGACAGCTACACCGACCACATCAAGCAAAAGTGCTTAAAGACCTGCGTTTGCCATGGAACTATAACAACTGTGTTGGCACCTTGGTGATAGCGACAATTAGGTATTCCAATGATTGCTCCGATGTGGAAACTGCGGTGTGATCTTTATCCCGAAAGTGTCGGTTATGTCTAAATGGGAGCGTTAGGTGCTGAACATGTCATTTGTCTCGCGTGTACAACAGGTCTAACTCACTGGATGAGTCCTTCTTCGTATGAATGCATGCGTGCAATCGGTGCTTGTTGTTAATACGCTCGAACGGCATGTACTAAATGAGGCAGCTCAATGTAGTGGTTCCATCACCTGCAATTGCAGGCTGAGATCCGCTTGGCTTTGCTTTGCCCATGCTACAGAAGCTGGCTGAAGCCGATCCAGAGTGCAAGAAGAGCACGGCGCTGGAATACAGCTACGGTTCTTTGCTGACGTCTACATTGTGCTATTGAGGATGGCAGCTGCCACTATTGTACTCCATGAACGAGAGAGCGATCACCCGCTTTTTTCCCTTTCTTCCTTGTTTTGATAGTACACTATTTAAGGTGAGTAACCGGTGGCAGCGTGATATTGTATATGGGCGTTGTATGAGTGCATCTTTTAACACAGGAATATTTAGAAACAATGAGAACATCGCTATCTGCTGCCAAAAGCCCTCTAGACGCTGATCTGGAAAAGATCTTACCGGGTGTGCACCAGCGATTGGCCGCGACTTATGAAGCTACCGCCAACTTAGGTCAAAAGGTTGATCATCTTACAGATTTGGTTGGGCAGGGCTTCCGGTCCATGAAGGAGACACAAGCTATGCAGCAGGCAGAGATAGAGAAGGCAGTGGGCTTTACTCTGGTTGAAGCCGGAACTCGAATGATTACACAACAATCTCCAGTCGCGCAATCTGACAATGACAACGACAATGAGCCTTTTCTTACAGAAGAAGATGTGGACGAGATAATGGCAGAGGTTGATGGTACCAGTCCGGCTGGTGCACCTACCAGTCCGGCTGGTGCATCTACCGGTACTGCTGCTGCCACAGTTAGTATAGTTGCCGCGACACCCGCCAGAGCCACAGGAAGAACAACAACAAACAACAACTACAACACTCCTAAATTTCCAAAGTTGAGGACCATTACCGGTTTCAACTGGTGAAGAAGCATTCCTGTCTGTGCAATGTTTCGAATGAATGGTTTGGCCTGGATGAGTTCGCGGACGCTTATGGTGGCATTGAAGGGCGCAACAAAGTCCACAAAAACCGTTGGAGGAAATACTTAGACAGCAACCTCTTCTCTGCTCACAAGCGAGTTGTGAAAGGAGTGGAGGCATATGCGGCAGAAACGAAACAGGATGCCAAGGCTGTTATTGCCGAATGGGAAGACTTTTTTACAGAAGTGAAGGGCTCTATGGGCTTATTGGTTAAGCTCCTACAGGGAAAGAAACTCATCAAAGTTGGCAAGGTACGAGGAAATTCGCTAAAAAAGCAACTCGAAAAGCAACAACAACAACTGTCGGAGGACTCTACGACTAGTAACTTGGTATAACAAAGAACTAGAAATGAAAAGAGTGAGAGTATCGCTAATCGATCCTCTGTGGCTACCGGTTGACTGACAGACTGTAAGTCGCATGACACCCTCCCCTGATTCGGAATCCTCCTTTTT